CCACGACCCCAGCAGATCAGCCGTATCCCACAAAGAGTTCCCGAAGCATTCTACAGACTGAGTACCCTCAAATATTAGACAGTCAAAAGTAAATTGGAATCTTACGGCTTTGAATCTAATCTCTCTAAGCAGATAGTTTTTGTGCTGTTACCTTTTATGGGGTGAGTGAAATCAATATACACACTAGTCTGTCAATAGATGCTCCTTTAAAATATATTTCGAGCAGAAGATATTTCGCTTCTTAGGTCTTTTGTTAACGAAATTTCTGATGAAGGAATACTAGTTCACGAATGTACACATGTTGGACCCTAATTTCCCATAAAAACATTCATCAGCGTTCTAGTTTGTATTCATGTCGTACAATGTTACACCTGCTCGCTTCAGTAGAATGCCGTTAAACGGTTATTCAAAGTTCGCTTGCGGCAAGTTCAGTTTTATGTTATCACAATTGAAAACACGGTGGTTTGCCAAAAGATGCGTGCAGTGATGTAAGGATTCCTCGACCGTTTAAAACAGTCTCACGCAATAGGGTTTCATACTCCATCACCTAAACCTCCAACATTCCGTGGATTGCAACAACCTGTACATACTTCAACACAAAAGCTTTTGCTGGCTTTGACAGTAGAACACTCTCCAAACGCTTGTACAGCAACTGGTGAGGACTTCCGTTTCATGTTGGCTTATATCATCCTACTGGTTTCGCCTTAGAAGATGAATTGCTCTCACTGCATTTGGATTACGTTTTTATCGTGTCTGGTAACCAATTTCCAATTTAGCACTCCTCATCACGTTTGACAATCACCTTGAGGATATTGCGCCGGTCCATCATGTGTGTGTGTGTTTACTGCCCCACTAGATTGCAGGAACACAAATGCTGCCTCTTGTTTCGCAACAGATGGAAACAGAATCAAAGTTAGAAAAAGCGTTCTACCGTGGTTGGCGTGAAATCACTAAACAGGAACTTTGAGTTCTTCAATGTCCCACAGCCTGAAAATTTGAACTTAAATGCTTTCTATTATACTTTGAGTAAACCACGTTTTGTAACTTTGATTTCAAGATTGCAGTACTCAGTTTAGGTGAGAATTCTTTAAAATATTCTAAATTGCTACCGCTCCTTTGTAACCCTATAGAAATCGATAGAAAGTGTGTTTTGTAAGCAACCATACTGATATGGCGGGTTTTGTGCTAACCGATTCGTCTACATCCCTATAAGGAGAGAAAATTCTAAGCACACTCTTTTGTTCCGTAGGTTCAAGGTGGCTAGTGCATATGCGATACAATCTGATTATCTAGTCCCCATGCCTATCCTCGTTGAGAGTGATTAGCTTCAATTAATTTTTATCTGGGATTTTTTGAACTATTTCCCATCAGCGATTAATCGCGCATTCAGTGTAACTACCGACGGATGACCTAATCTTTGCAAAACTTTTGCCATTATGGTGCGATAGGCGCTCATTTTATCGCGGTGTTTTGTTAGCTAAGTAATTAAATTCATACTTGATGTGAACACATTGACAAGGTCATTCAAAAAATAATATCTAGTGTCCAGAATTCTGATCACTTTCGTGCGTTTTAACCAAGTGAGCAAAGCACTTATTCGAGTCAGCTACGGTTGATTTGAACGGAGGGCGGACGTTTGTTCACGCTGTTCACTGTGGTTATGAGGTCAGCCACTTAGCCACCGCACAATACACGGATGTCAGCTACGATTTATTCAACTTCCTTCGTACCCTTGCAATGTTCCCAAACACACACCAAGAGAACCGTGAATAAATGTAGGTTAGTCATGGTACTTGCTTTTTGTGTTACTCTACTTACCAACCCCAGTTATCTCTGAAAGTTTATTGCAAATAGTGGACATTGCTAACCATCGGCTTGTTGTTTAGTGACATTGGGCTAAAGCGACTACCAACTACCGCCTATAAGGTTCCCTACCATGTATACCGATGTACGATATCATGTACGAATCTAATCGGATCATCCAGCCAATCCGAAATATCGTGCACACGCATGGGATGTGCGAGGTTGATCGGTACTGGAAACTCGATTTCAGCTTCCACGAATCCTCTTTGGACGAGAAAACTCAGTCACTTGTCTTGCGTTTAGACTCTTTCAATACCTTAGTGTCTCATCTCCTCGGATTGTTCCAGACCGATTTCAAAGCTGAATCGAAAAGGCTAACGCTAGTCCCGACGGAAACACAGCTATACGCCTCCACTTAACCAACGTGTACCGAGTCTGCTGCATTAAGTGACCACACCAAAATACCTTCTTCCTCTTTGGCTGTCCAGACCAACCCAGGCAGACCACATAAGTAGCTGCTTTATTGTATCCTTATGCTTTGGCTACTTGTAATTGCAAGGTTTTCGTGCCCTCCTAAGTTCACTCTCTAAAGCGTCACCCTCGCCCGGCGCTCATAAGCCTTCTCGAAGCCTTCAATTCTAAAACATCCCGTCTATCCAATCATTCGTTAAATCTTAGAATCGTTTGGACTCGTTTTTATCCGGACTTCACAACATGTCTTTACAGCAATCCAGCCATGTCTCACGAGGAAGTGATGCTTCTTCTGACGGTGAACAAAAGTCAATAAATAAAGTCAATCACACAGTTGTGCCCTCCATTCATCAACAATTGATTGACGTTTTCACCCTCTTCTCTTGACTACTTACACAAGAATTAACCAACCAACAACTACGACGGGTTCCCCTTCTTGGGGCTCATCAGATAGGCGCAATCCCCGAGTTTCCGTCAACCTCACGATCTACTTGAACCCAAATTGGACCGTTTTCGAGAACTACACTCGTTTGCAAATCANGTTTTCGCGGGAGACTCAATCGAATCTCTCGTTTATGATGTCCTCCGAGAAGGGCGATACCGGTCGTGGGCTGTCGAAGAGTTTTCATCAACCTTGTGAATAGTTTCCTTCATGAAAATATACTGTGATACCTTGAATATTGTGCCAACTGAATCATGAGGCGGCCTGTATGCAGCACATTCAGTTGTAGAATATCATAAACGGGAGATTCAATTGGGTTTCACGTGAAAACCAAATTGAATTGCAAATGAGTGTATTTCTCAACCAACAACTACTTTTTGCTCTGACCAGTCCAACGTGTCAGTCTGTTTGCCATTGAATTCAGCCAAATAGGGGGTGAACTAATTATATTGCATAAGAAACTTGAGTATTACTTAAATCTCAGCAGCTAATTTGTCACTTTTTCGAGGAAGTAGATTGGATAGTTTATAATGAGGATGCTACTTTAACACAGCATTGTGATTCCGCCATTTATTGGGCATGTTTGTGCTACAAACAAGTGAATAGCCCCGTGATATCAACCTAAGCTTTGCTTATTTTTTCGCATTTCATATTGCCTTTCACACGCTCGTTCCTAAGACAGAATCATACCTACCTTTCAAAAATCAGTCGGTTGTTTGAGAACCAGTAAATCAATCTTTCTCAGATATCTCCGCCGAGTAAAGCACAGAAGTTCGAGCGTACCATCAAATCGTGTGCGTATTTTACCTCAAAATGTCCAGTGTGTATAATTTAGTCCGCCTTAGATAGTTGGGACGGGCGATATGGCCGAAGTGGTTACAGCGCGAATTAACTGACCGGAAGATTCGTGGTTCGAACCCGATCTCTGCCACTCGACTTTCCCTGCCTAGGCCTGAGCGACCTGGCAGTATCCCAGCCCTCGTTCTTCGTGCGCGTGGCATGGCAGCTAGGCACCAAAAGGCTGTTACAGCTTAACGATTATTGTTATTATTATTATTATTAGATATATGGACCTTCTGATGGTTCCCTAAACATTTAAAAACATCGCAAGCATAGTTTTTTAATTTTTCGGTTGCACCGTCATTTATTTCTAAATATTAGTAATGGCTTTCTATTACAGCAGAATAGACCACTTGTGAGTCACTTCTATTAAACTGATTAACCGTACGTCAGGGGATCCGTCCACCTAGAACATTCATCCACCATATATTTTCCAGTTTCCATTTACAGATCCTAAAACGGGGACATTATGTACGAATACTGGTTATTCATACTCATCGATTATAGAATGTATACATGTTTTGCACTTCACAAACCATCCTTTGTGGTAGGAACATTTGCTGTACACGTGATTTTATATCAACTTGTCACAGCAACACCCATACCATGATATAACTGTTTAGCCATTGTTCGCATGACATTCATCGTTCACTTCAACTGTGTTCACCAATGCAGTCATGTGGGATTCTCTGAACTGCAGAAGTGTTCCTCAAAGCACTACCTATCTTCTGTTATGCATATGACTTTACACTGCATAATGTTGTTCCTCATGACAAATCTTTGGGTGGTTTTAAAAACCAAATAAAAAGTAGCTCATGTCCTTCGAAATTCTCACGCTGATCACAGGTGTGCAAGCATGGTCTAGCCCACTAATTACTTTGTATGTACCCAGCTTCTGGAAAGTGTATTGCCTTCACTAGCCTCTGGAACCGTCAGTTGGTTTTGCCACAGACATGAGTTGCCATCTGTTGCAATTCTGTTGCATTTCTGTGGATTGTGGCTGGGCAAAATTCAACATTTCTTGTTGAACAACGGTGCTCGTGAGCATAGTCGATCAACCAAAAATGTTGTCAGCGAAATTTCATTTCCCAATTTTAACGAAGATGATTCTCCGAGCGGTTAACGATATATTTGCAATATTTAGAAATCTAACCATCGTTCAAAGTTTATTTTTGGGTTGTACACATCGTGGTTCGGTTTAATCCCTGAGTTCATATTTATCACTTTGTCCTCCATCTAAACTCACCGTTGTTCTTCACCTAATCGTTAATTGTGTTTATTACATGACTCACTGGTAGCAGTCAACATACCGTTTTTTGGAACACAGCTTCAGTCTTGACTATCTCGACACAGAATGCATCGCTCTCTCTCTCTCTCTCTGGATAAAGAATAGTGGAAGATTGTGCACACTTGTTGTAACCAGTCTCATTAAATCTTTTTCTAGGGAAGATTGACGTGTGTGCAATTCATCGAGGTTACCTGTGCCCCAACGGGGAGTGTGTTCCCAGTGGACGAGACTTTTACTGCAATTGCGATCCAGGATTCACACCATCGTTCGATCGCCGACGATGTCTTAGTAAGTTGTAAAATTTCCAATACATACTGATGCGTCACAAAAGTGGGAAACATGTGCGAATCTGCGAAAAGCGATTTTTTTATTTTTGGTCTTAGTAACGGGAACCTCACATCATCAACAATCCAGAAACAAATTCAAACTCAATGCTGGCAAAGTAACCCTCCACTGGAAAATGTGTTGGCCACAAAAATCTCTCTACGCAATCGCTCTCGCCTCTGTCGGACGCATGAATCCGATGCTTATTTTCAGCCTAACTAAAGGAAAACGGTTAGTTCACAGTCACACCACTCTCGTTCTAACGGTCGTTCCCGTGTTCCGGCCGTAATTATTCTAGTGGGTTTACACCAAACGGGGAAGCACTGGACTCGAGTTTGGCTTCTATTAGAGCTCATCAGCAGTGCGTATCCAATGGCCGTGTCGGGATTTGAACCCTGGACATCTGACATGCGAGACGATCATGTAACCACTACTCCACCCACGCACGTCAGTCGCATCTGGATCTTCACGTCTGAACGGGTGAATGTGTTAACGTTTGAGCGATGTGATTGGTGTGCCCGACTCACCGAACGATGACCTAATAATTGTCCTGGTTGTGACGATCGATTGACCCGCCAGTCAGGACTCTCCAGTCAGGTAGCGCGACAACTATTTGGTTGCAGTTTTGGGGTTTCGCGAGATGGATATTTTGGTTATAGTAACACCAGTTATGTTTATTTTTTTAAGAAGTTGCTATCAACAAACTTTGGAAAGTCAAACAAGCTCCCTTAGATCCGTTTTGATGGCCATGTATGCAGTAAATTTTTAATTGTGTCCATTAGAAATACGTGCGAGCCGTTTCATTTGGGGCACATATTAGAGATTCTCAAATCACACATTGACAATCGTACAGGTGCTTTATAGCAAACCTAAAAATTGGCATCTTGAAGAGAAAAAGCTGAACATGACAAAAATGAGTAGTTCTACGTGGATTACCTAAAATATACTGCCACGTGTACTCGAGCACTGCTAGAAGTTGATTGTCGTTCCAACGGTACATTCAAATAAGTGGTTGCATTCAACTTAGGTAAGTAACTCACACGTTAAGGTCATTGGGTGTGTACAAGATAGAAGACATTAAAAAATCGGTTCATCATCGGAAGATCTTGTACAATCGCGGTATTATTTTTTATAATTCGCAAAAAGGGGAAGTTATTATTCGATTATTTCATTTGTTTTACCATGCTTGATCTGAAAATGATTTCCTTATCCCAAACGTGCCAAACAAGTGTGAGCTAGAGGTGCGATACTGGTGTTGTGCGAAAAGATAACCAATCAAGCACTTGCCTGAAATTTGTGATAAAGAACCTAGGATCCAAAGCGATCACACCTAGACAAATTGGTTTGTTTAACTGTGAAAAGCACATCATCATTCTTTAGGTTTCGTCCGAAGAGAGAATTGCAATGAAGTCAACTTGATGTTATACTGGTTATCCAAAAACACTGTAGTATTGTTATTCATCGATGGCTGAATCGTTCTACGAGCTTGGCATATTTTTTCGGTAGAGATGCTTCTCCATAGCCTACTGATATCGTGGTACTCAGTAGTGTTGTGACTCCGCGTGTATATGCCCGGTTATCTATGGAGTAAACTTGAATCATACTTCGCAATTCACAACGAGGATGCCAGTTATTTTAGCAGATGAGCTGATAACCTGATACCGGCCGCACGGTTCTGTACCTACATAATCCTGAGCAGATCAATCGAAACATCATGAATTCGGCTTAATCTTGGCTTCTTGACAGAATAGTTAAAAGTAGTTTGTAGCGATTTTTAGAAACAGCGTAATCGTAGACTATCTACTTTCTTTTCAGAGAGTGTTTTCCGCTACCGGTATTTACTCTGGGTGTTTAATGTCCTTAGAACTGTAAAGTTATGGCACTACAATGTACCAAATTGTCCATCCTAAAGCATAAATCAAATCTATTGTCATAATTTGGTGTTTCAGGGGATGATCATCCTTCGGCCAAAAACTAGAAGGGTAGTATAAGTCTGCTACCAAGTGGAGCCAACTTCCACGTCATAAGTTCAAACAGGGAAGGAGCTACTTTCCTTGTGTTAGCGTTTAGGGACTCGAATATTTCCATGAGCTATTTCACCGCCACCAGGCGAACAAAGTGGAAAATAAATTTGATAACTTCTCAGGTGAAAAGCAGGGAAGATCGTGTAACTTGAAATCAGTTAAGGGTAAATTTCCTTGCAGGAATCCACTGGGCGTTCCGAAATTTCGCCTCCTTATTTACGATTCTTGCGACACGCGAGCGACAAAAAGCAAACTGATTGCTTTAGAAGTTTGGCTTTAGTAAATATAATCATATTGCTTGAATATTCCCATTATTACAACAAGAACACGGTGAAAGATATCAGATTTTTAAGGATCCCGTCAATACATAAGTACATGTCTGAATGGGTAAAATAAGATCAGTAGTGACATGAACGGCAAAGATTTGTTACTGAACTAATAACCGTAGAAGTACGGATGACTGGTCGTCAGCCTACCCTATTTCACACGTAATACGGTGCTGTGAGAAGGTCCAGAGTAGAGCTGAGCTACTGAGTCGTTTGACTCGTACCACGTGACTGAGGCAGACTCATCGCTCGTACATATCGTTTTTGACAGCATAGAAAGCGAATGAGACCACTCCGGCTTCAATCGAACCTTACCGTTGGATCGATATTGGCAGGCCTTTGGGTGCCGGCTAGGTGACGTAGAATGGCTCGTTCGGATTGATCACATGACCTGTGCCAACTATATGTGGCGCGTTTGAGCCTTTGGTCAAGGTGTTGAGTATAGTGATGTTTTCAGATGCTCAGTTATTTCCTTAGCAGGCTGCCATGTTGTGCGCCTCACATATTCCGCTGGACAACAGCAGAAGAAATAAAAACAATCATATTCTGGATTAAAGTTGACCAAACAGTTGGTTATGAAACAAGACAACCGAGTTTCAGACGTAAACGTGAGTTGTAGGGATTAAAAGGGACAATGAATGACCATCTGCCAACAGGCTGCCTTTATAGTGTGGAGACAAGTAGACTGGCTCCTTTATAATGGTTGTAATAGACGGTTGGAAACGACGTTCAGACATATTCATGGATAACTGTTAGTTCTTAGCACATTAGCAATGTACTTCAGTCCAAACTCCAGCAAGTCAGCGGAGCAAATTCTTTTCACTGGGTTTTTTAGGTGTAAATCAGGGCTCGTTTCTGCTGTAGAGACAGAAAACTGAAATGTTTCCTGATGAGCCCCGAGGAGGGCGAAACCGGTCGTGGGCTGTCGACGAATTTCCAGCAACCTTACGAGTAGTGCATTACGAATGAAATTTTCCTGTTTTGTCCCGTGAACAGATCCCTGAAATGAACTGGCAGACAGCCTGATTAATCTAATGCCCAAGAATTGAATCGCGTTCTCTCTTTTGGCTTCATAATTGAATTGAATGGAGAGATACGCGTGAGTGAATTTTACTTCTGAACTTGTTGATACTAGCCTAAAAAGTGAGTGCATCTGATCTCCCTACTCAGTCCAGTTTACCCACAAAAACGTCACTCAACGGGGGAAGTAAATTGGAGATGTGGGCCAAAAGTACAACGCAAACCTAGTTCTTTTGAGGCGACAATGTGGACTGGGAGTGTAAAGTCTGACGTGCCACAAATGAAATTTCTGGTCTCCATGGATGAGCCATTAGTAGAAAGAGAGGTCGCATCAAAAGAGCGCCTATATTTGGAATTCAAATCTACGTCTTTTGGCAGTTCCTCAAACTCGAAAGTCTTATGGAGATTATGCTGACGTAAACCTTGTCATATGGCTTCTAAAACATCGCTCAACCCATAGTTCTCTAGACCGTTTCACTGTTCCCCATTAGATGTGAAATGAGATGGGTTGACGACCAGTCGTCCCAATTTTTTCGGTCTCTAATTTAGGAACCAGTCTTCGCTATTTACTGCATTATTGATCCTATTTTAGTCACTAGATAAGTACTGACCTGATGATGAGATCCCGAAAACATCAGTGGTTGGCACTTTGTTCTTAGTGAACTTCAACTGGAATAACAAACAATTATTTTGTTCCATCTTAACTACACTACCTCAGGTGATAGGATCTAGTTTCAAAATGGACATAGTCAGAGACATTCAACGAGATCGTATTACTGCATTTTCTCCAATGGGGAATCACAAATTGCATTCTTCGCTCAGCTTAGCTAAGCACAAATCAACCCGAAGTAATTCGTCTCAAACGTTTGTTGTTGGTATCCCGGTGGAAATCAGAAGGAATACTCTACTCTGACAGTTCGTAAATATGTCGTTAACGCCTCAGTTCATTTGACAAGAAACGTGTCTGACGTCAAGGAGTACATCTTGCAAGGACACAGATATACTGGGGTTTTAACACGAGTACATTCACTCACGTTTGAATTTTTATGAAGGTGTGAAAGCAATGACTGTACTATCATGCATGATAGTTTAAGTTCGCCTGGTGACGAGTCAATTGTGAGACGCTTGCTTCAGGTGTCAGATGGTTGCAGTCAAACCCCTGGAACGGTCATTGCTGCGCAGAAAAAAACATGATTGCCAGCACCATGTTCTTCCCTATGACACTGAAACTCTAAGTATTTCTATTTCGGTAATGAAATCAACAACAATTTAAGCCATCAGTAGAAGTGGAAAAGAACAGTGTGATAGTATCGTTCAGCCTTGGTAGGAAGGTCCTGAAAACTGGCTTACCATTTCGATCATAAAATCACTACACACAGCGCACAGTGATAAGCACAGCATATGATTGTAGCGCTTTTAAGATGAGTAATAGATTACAGAGCTTGTTTTACCTCGAGCTGAAATGGGTAAGACACTTCCAAATCCATTGAACAACAACAAGAACAACGTGTTATACGACATACGCTCATTTTACCCAGATTTCGTTTTAACGAGAGACCAGGTGAATCCCTCATTTATGGTATTCTTCAATTAGTGGTCCTTGTTTCGGTTGGGATGATATTTCTGGTAGAGTAATATATTTTCCTAAAGGATCACTAGTCAAAAAGTTGCCTTCGAAGTGTTTACAGCAAACTTACGTGTAGTGTCCTTCCAACATGCACACTTGCGACAGACGTACTTGTATAGCACAGTTGTCAGGATCGTCCGCTTTCGTAGAGATTGGTTCTAAATTTGGTTGAGAGAAGATCGCCGAAAAAAACTTTAACGGGTATAAATCTTCTTCTTCGCTCAGCTTAGCTAAGCACAAATCAACCCGAAGTAATTCGTCTCAAACGTTTGTTGTTGGTATCCCGGTGGAAATCAGAAGGAATACTCTACTCTGACAGTTCGTAAATATGTCGTTAACGCCTCAGTTCATTTGACAAGAAACGTGTCTGACGTCAAGGAGTACATCTTGCAAGGACACAGATATACTGGGGTTTTAACACGAGTACATTCACTCACGTTTGAATTTTTATGAAGGTGTGAAAGCAATGACTGTACTATCATGCATGATAGTTTAAGTTCGCCTGGTGACGAGCCATATGTGAGACGCTTGCTTCAGGTGTCAGATGGTTGCAGTCAAACCCCTGGAACGGTCATTGCTGCGCAGAAAAAAACATGATTGCCAGCACCATGTTCTTCCCTATGACACTGAAACTCTAAGTATTTCTATTTCGGTAATGAAATCAACAACAATTTAAGCCATCAGTAGAAGTGGAAAAGAACAGTGTGATAGTATCGTTCAGCCTTGGTAGGAAGGTCCTGAAAACTGGCTTACCATTTCGATCATAAAATCACTACACACAGCGCACAGTGATAAGCACAGCATATGATTGTAGCGCTTTTAAGATGAGTAATAGATTACAGAGCTTGTTTTACCTCGAGCTGAAATGGGTAAGACACTTCCAAATCCATTGAACAACAACAAGAACAACGTGTTATACGACATACGCTCATTTTACCCAGATTTCGTTTTAACGAGAGACCAGGTGAATCCCTCATTTATGGTATTCTTCAATTAGTGGTCCTTGTTTCGGTTGGGATGATATTTCTGGTAGAGTAATATATTTTCCTAAAGGATCACTAGTCGAAAAGTTGCCTTCGAAGAGTTTACAGCAACCTTACGTGTAGTGTCCTTCCAACATGCACTCTTGCGACAGACCAACTTGTATAGCACAGTTGTCAGGATCGTCCTAGAGTAATATATTTTCCTAAAGGATCACTAGTCAAAAAGTTGCCTTCGAAGTGTTTACAGCAAACTTACGTGTAGTGTCCTTCCAACATGCACACTTGCGACAGACGTACTTGTATAGCACAGTTGTCAGGATCGTCCGCTTTCGTAGAGATTGGTTCTAAATTTGGTTGAGAGAAGATCGCCGAAAAAAACTTTAACGGGTATAAATCTTCCCTACAATGTACACACATGACACATGCACAAACTTTGCCTGGCCGGTTTTGACAATCGGTGTGTCAATGGCTTGGCGGAAGGAATGTCGTAACTGCTCCAATTACTCTGCGTGGCTATAATTATACCAAGGTTAACTTTTGTGGGTGGCTTTTTTTCTCACAAGAATTGACTGTCAAATGTCATCGTTCTGCGAGAGAATACATTCCAATTTACCCTTAATATGTACGCTTTTATCAGGCTGATGATGGAAGTATGATACGAAAACTTTAGTATGAGATAACTAGTCATGGGAGAAAGGCTATCGAATAAAGTTCGATCGAACAGACATGGTGAAACTACAAACAATGCTATATCTTTGTCATGTACTACTCACAAGGTTGCTGAAAATCCATCGACAGCCAACGCCCGGTTTCGCCTTTTTGGGGCTCATCAGGTAGGCGCAGCCCCCGGGTTTCCGTCAACCTTATGTTCCGATTGAAACCAAATTGTGCGAAATTATCGAATATACACTCATTTGCCTGAGAACATCATAAACGAGAGATTCAACTGGGTTCCAGGTGAGTCTCTCGAAAAAACCAAACTAGTTTGCAATTGAGTGTATATTCGCTAATTACAAGCAATGCTATTTCTGATGGTTAAATTGCACATAAGTAACTCCCAGAAGGCTATATTACTACCTGGTGATAGTAAGCGGATAACTGATAATTCCCTACAGGGATTTTGTCTGGTTAGTGAAGCCAGTCTATGCCGAAAAACCGAAAATTACTGTACAGGTGGAAAATGTTTGGAACCTATTGAGAAGTCATCGTTTCAGAGAGGTTTGGTAGACAATCGGTGGATTTATTGCGACTGATGTCCGAGGCGGTGGAAATCGCGAAACATCCCAGTGTGAATAGAGTAGAGGGGGTAGAACTTGCAAATGTGTGGAGAATGGTTTTAGATCAGCCGAGATTACACAAGGCGGTGTGCAGTTATCAGCAAAATGATCTGGGTTTAAAAGTACAAAATTCAAGTAGAGTTAGATCCAACTGACCACCCAAACCTATTGGCCTTGCACTCTTTGACGAACAAATGTGAACGAAATCTGTGAACGACCCCAAGAGGAAGTTTCCATTAACGTGTCCTAGACTGAAAAAGCGAGGACGGAAATTCCGAGTTCTCCCCTAATCAATCTATCGTAAACGTTAGTCATCCCCACTAACCAACACACAGGAACATCACACTGAACACCCAGCACTGATCAAGTCGGTTAGTCATAAGAAATCTCACGGATTGTTTTCCTGACTGCCTTAAAACCCGATCATTCTACTTACTCACTTGGACGAAGCTTTTGTGTCAGAAACGAAACCCTGCCCAGCAACAAATCCACCGATTGTTTACCAAACCCCTCTGAAACGTGCTGTACAGGTGTTTTATCCTTATTCGAAAACATCGGCAGTGCCCATCTAACGAAACTACAAGTAGTGTCGAAAGCGCTAATTTCTGGCAAGTAGTTTGAATTCAACTGTTCCGCCACAAGTGGCTGGTTAGCACTGTAGTCTTATTTCGTTCATTTTGTTTCGTGAGGCGCATATTATTGCTGATTCCCAAAATTGAGTTAATAGCAGTACAGTACATCTCAAATTTCTTCCGTAGATTGGTTTTAATTAACGAATAAATTCCTAATTGAAAATCATCGAATCTCCCCACAGCGCTCATAGTTTATACGTCACTCACACAACATGAGTGGAACTCCCGTGTGAGAAACCGTCACTCTTGGAGCCAGTCAATACACGATCACGTGATACGGTTCCCGTGACTGAAGGATAAGTGAGCGTGAGTTAATCAGGCTGCGGATCAGTCTCTTGTGGCAGAACGTTCATGTGTTCAAACTGTTGGGCGGCAGGTCACTAGTTCGAGGCTCTTTGGAGTTTGTGAAATGCTAATCAATCCCAAAAAGGATGCAACCACTGTACAGTGCCTTCCAGCTTTTCAACACAGTCTCGTTTTACTGACAGGAAGAACTTTCAAGGGAAAAGACAGGGCAATTAACAAATCTTCGCATCTGTGTATGGGTTTAGATTATATATGATTTGGTTCGCATTGTCTCGTTGCAAAAAGATTGCACAACAAATACAGCCCATTTTAAAACTCGTGGAAAGTTTGTGGGAAGTTTCTTGAAAATCCATATTGTACGTTTCATCACTGTACTTTTTATCGTAATACCAAAGAACCCCAAAGGGCTCAATTTCGCATTCGCCTTGCTGAAGCGGATCGGCTGAGCAGCTCAAATTCAGTCACATGATAGGGCTTCCGTTTATTTGATATCTAACTTCAATTTGCTCATTACTTTTGCTGTCTCAGTTGAATATTCTGTCTACGTTTGCTTCATAAATCATTTTTGTGGTTTTAATGACAGATCACTGCGAACGAATGGGGCCAAACATCTGCCCCAACGGTCGATGTGTCGTAATGCCATACGGTGACTACGAATGTCAATGCCACCCTGGCTATGAAAGATCGATGGATAGAAAGCACTGTGTGCCCGAAGAAGCCCAGCCTGTAATATGTGAGTTCTTCCGTACGATAGTGTAAAAGCCCAAAGTCAGGTGACAGGCGGAACACTATACATTTGTTTGAAGCAGTGTTTTGAAACAAAGGGCACCTAAGAAGTGCTTGGTTGGATATTTTGTATTTGATCTGAGCTAATTTGGAACTCAGCAGTTCAGGTGAGGCAGAGAAACAAGCAATGTGTACATATCTTACTACGTGAAGCCATCAAGTTTATCGACAAAAGTTGCATTGCCTACTTACAGCCTCTTTTTCAGTAGCAATCAAATAACGATATATATTAAAAGAAGCTGAGTTTGCAATTGACGCAGCTGAGTCATAGTGGTCTGTCATAAATTAGATGGGAAATAGATATGTTTTGTTAACATCTCACACAAATGAGAGGTACTACGTCAACGGTATGTATTTTTTTAGAAATCGGGCCTATTACGAAGCAGATGATCTAACTCCTGCCTTTTGGGTGTCATTACAGAGCAAGTCAAATAACCATTCACGGAAAATGAAGCCGAGTTCTAATTACGACCAACCGTAGTAAATTAGTTCTTGCTGCTGTGTGGATTATCTAAACTAGAAGTTGTTGTGTAGACATCACGGGTTTTTGCTAAACTCGCCAACGAAGTACCCAACCTCGTAGCAGTATATTATCATTTATTTTGTTTTTGAAAAGCATGGTCACAAACATAAAAAGTGAATGCAAGCGATGAATGCGAAAGAGTAACAGGAGAATATGAAAGAAAAGAGAGAAGCGTCTCGTTCGAAATCATGCCAAGAACAGTTCCAGTCTAATGAGATGAATCCCAAAGTATGTAAAGATTTTGATATGGAAACACGCGTCTAAAGACTAACAACCGAAGAAAGGACACACGACGGTGAATGCTCTTCAAGGCGCGGTAGGCGCTAGCACAGTCAATACTCGCACATCAGGCACAATGTGTCCATCATAGTGGGTCTATTGTGAGATTAAATGGCAAAAATGTGC